CTACTACTACTACTACTACTCCTAGCGGCTGCTCTGGCTCTACTTAGGGTTCCGCGCTTCGGGTTTAGGGTGTAGGCTAGCTAGCTCAGTAAGTATCCCCTTGGCATGTGGGGCATTAGGGTTTAGGGTTTAGGGTTTAGGGTTTAGGGTTTAGGGTTAGGGTTTAGGGTTTAGGGGTCTGAAGCTGTGGGCCTGAAGCAGCGATCCATGTAGTACTTATAGTGAGTCTGCCAGGGTATTCTTGCTACCGGCACGTGAGGATGCCAACACTTCCCATGGCGGTAGTGCTCGCAACTAGATTTTGCGAATTGGGGGTTTCCGAAAATAGGGGACCCTAATATAGTACCCTAACTAATAGGATCCCTAATATAAGGACCCCAAAATAAGGTACCCTAATTTTCTGAAACTCCCAGTTACCACTAGCACATTTGTCAAGGATGTTGACCATAGCAGCATCCACTTGACTTTGTAAGATCTAAGAGAGACGCCGACATCCTAAAGCCCTAAACCGCTCAACCCAAGACCCTAACCGGGAAGGCCTGAACGCCAACGCCGAAAAGCTCCAAAAGGCCCAAACCTAAAAACCCCAAATTGATCTAAAAAATAGATCCCCTAAGGGGGTTCCTATAAAGTACCCTTTAGAGTTAGGGTCCCTAATTAGGGGATCTATTTGTTAGATGCTTTTGGGGGTCTGGGAACCTAAAAACCGTAGGAGCCTAAACGCCCTAAGAGCCCCTGAATCCGTCTCCTGGGCCTTTCGTCTCACAGACCGCCACGCGAAGGGCACGGAGCGCAGCCCCACGGGAGCTGGCAGGAACCAGGGCAAAGACCTTGCACTTCAGTTTGGTTGATATCGGGGCCTCAATAATTAGAATAGGGTTTTGGGGCACAGTATACTATAACTATAAATAAGGAACCCCCAAACTAGTACAGGTAATTACTTGGGGATTTTGGGGGTCTTCGGGCTTAGGGCTTATAGGGCTTTAGAGTCTAGAGCCTTTTTGGTTCATGGCTTCAGGGCTTTGGGCTCAGGGTTTGAGGTCTGCCCGGCAAGTCGAGCAGTTGTAAGCAAGTCCCTTTGTAGTGCCACGACAGGCCCACCACAACGGCCCCAAGACTGCCCAAAACCAATTCAAAACGAGCCATACCAAGGCCGCGTAAGCAACTTGACATAACACCGCAAGGATAAAGCGGCTCGACCCTACTTCCCCAGAGCCTGATACCTGGACACCAAGCCTCTGAATGAAGGCTACAGGGGTTTCGGGTCCATGCCTGATGGTTTAGGGCCTAGGGTTGAGGGTTGA